CAGATTTCAGTTCATGGTTGGTTGGTTCCGTGGCTGTGGGCCTGAGGTGAGTAGATCATCAAAAAGCTGCTCACTGGGAAACTGAGAGAAGGAAGGGGAAGGAACCAGAGAAGTTACACCCCTGAAAGTCACAACTGAGTGACCTACTTCCTCCAGCTAGGCACTACCACCTCATAGCTCATTCAGCTATGAACTCATCAATTTTGTGTGTGTGTGTGTGTGTGTGTGTGTGTGTGTACCAGGAATCGAACTTGGGTCCTTGCACTTGTGAAGCAGGCACTGGAACCACTGAGCTAAATCCCCAGCCCGTGAACTCATCAGTATTTAATCCATTGATAAATTTAGGATCCTCATAATTCCCCTTTACCTGTCTTTTAATCCATTCAGGTCAATGTCAAGGTTAACTGTCACATACCTCTAGCTATAGGCAATCTGCTTTTCATCTCTCTCAGACTGAGAACATCGCGCTTATGAGGCAGGTTGTGTGCCACTGAGCTAAATCCCCAGCCCTGCCTGTTCTTTATAGAGAAATGGAGTCATGGGTTTTGTGGTTTTGTTTTTGTTTTTTGATACAACGTCTCGCTATGTAGCCCAGGCTGGCCTCAAACTCTCAGCAACTCTCTCCTTCAGCTTCCTGAGTGCTAAGATTACAGATATATACCACCAAACCTGTGGATATTTTGTCTTTTGTGACTGACTTCTGTTACATTATATTTCCAAGGTCCATCTGTGTTATAACACACATGTGCTAACTTTCAAGAACATTTTACCTGTCTCACCAGCCACATCTCAATTCACTCTTAGTGGTGCCAGACCATAGGGCTTTCTCCTATTGCTGGAGATCCTCTGATTGGCTTGCCATTTTGGTACTTAGGAATTCTGAAGCCTTTCTTCATACATAAGGTCTCCTTTCTTGCTTTGTGTTGGTCCTCATACATTTGTAACTTTTCTTTAAGTATCCTGGCTCCTTTCCTGACTACCTCTTTTGAGTTGTTAGCACTACCTATTCCCACTCCACACACTTAAGCTTTGTTGTTTTTATGTGAAATAGTTCATCTGGGCAACAGTCTTTTTGCTGATTGGGGTGAAATGTTGTGAGGTTTGATCTCTTTTTCTTTTTGAGACAGGGTCTCTTACTCTGTAGTTCAAGCTGGTCTTGAACTCACTGGGTAGCCCAGGCTGGCTTCCAACCTTTGGCAATCCTGTTGCCTCAGCCTTCCAAGGGCTGGGATGACAGGCATGCACCACCACACCTGGCTTGTGGTGGGGTTTGGAAAAAGGCTCATTAGATTGTGTGCATTCTGCCTCCCTTTCCAAAAGCAACCTCCCTTTCCTTTTTGTTACTGAGGATTGAACCAAGAGGCTAATGAACTACGCCACCAGCCCTTGTTATTTCTACTGTATTTTGAAATAGGGCCTTGCTAAATTGTTGAGGCTGACCTCAGCTGGTACTCTTTAGCTGGGGTTATAGGCCTGTGCTGCCTTGTGTGGTCGCTGAGCACTGTTACACCTTTACAGTGGTGTTTTTGTTTTTGTAATGCTGCCATCAAGGCTTTCTTTGTGAATCATAGATCTAATCATGCTAGTCTAATGGCTTTTCCTTCCATTCAGAATAAATTGAAGTTGCTTGGGACTTCCAGGTCCTTCCAAGTCATCACCCGTCTTTTCAGCCTTATTTTCCAGTCTTCTGTCTGCACTCTTCTGTTTAAGGTCATTGAGATAATTTGCTCTGGTGTACCTTTACCTTAGAAAACCCTTCTGAGCAGCACCATTCTTTCTGACTCCCTTCAGGGGACTTTGCTCCCACTCTTCAAGGTCCTGATCAAATACTGTATTGCGGATTTTGAAACCTTTTTTTTGGTACCGGGGATTGAACTGGGGTCCTTGTGCTTGCTAGGCAGGTGGTGGAACCACTGACCTAAATCCCCGGCCCCGATTTTGAAACTTTTAAGGGACCATCTGTGTCAGAATTTAAGATTGCAGCAGCATTGGGACCCTTGTACTGAAAATTCTAATCTGTTTTGGGCTAATGGGACTTGTACCACTGAGCTACATTCCCAGCCCTTATTTTATTTTGAGACTGGCTCTTAAATTGTCCAGACTGGTCTGGTCTGAAACTCTCAATCCTCCAGCCTTAGCCTTTGAGTTAGCTCTACTGGCTTTTGGTGGGGTTCGTGCCTGCATATGAACAACCTTCGAATTTGTGAAGTGTTTGTGAAAGAGAGAGAGAGAGAGAGAGAGAGAGAGAGAGAGCGAGTTGAAGTTGTGCAATTTCCCAGAACCTGACAGTAGTCATGAAGTGAAGAAAGATGAAGCGAAGAACCATATAACTGGGGTTTCTACAGTGAATGAGTTGAGTACATTAGCACTGCAAATTTCTTTTTATCACCAAGATTGGAAGAATTGTAAAGAGATTCACCAGGGTCAGGATGATATATTAGAGAAATTGAGGCACAGATGGAGAACAAAGTTGTTCTTGGACAGGAATTTTGGGCTAGGGACTGGAGATTTTGGAGTCACATGCACAAAAATAATACTTGAAGGACTGAAGTCCCAGAGATAGGTAAAGTGTTGGAAGAGTAAAGCAAATAACTGTGTGTATGTGTTAAGGGGGATGATTAGGTGTGGAAACTGTAGCTAAGGAGATAGGAGATTTAGAGATCAGCATACCTAGTATATTTTGTCAGGTAGATCCAGGAAGATTAAGTTGTTATCACAATAAAAAACTAACAAGGGCCGGGGGATTTAGCTGAGTGGTTCTGGTGCCTGCCTCGCAAGTGCAAGGACCCAAGTTCAATCCCTAGTACCAAAAAAAAAAAAAAAAAAATCTAATGGATTAGATTTTTTTGTTGTTTTTTGGTACCGGGCATCAAACTTGGGACCTTTGCAAGGCAGGTGGCAGAACCACTAAGCTAAATCTCCAGCCCTTAATGGGTCAGATTTTATGATGCTAAGTCATTAGTGACTTCTGAGAAATTTCATTAGAAGTTTGGTAGGTGGCAGATTGGAAGAATATAAGAAACTGAGTATGAAGCGGCATCCCCAGTGCTGGGACTACAGCCATGCCAGAACAAGTAAGGTAACCAAGGGAAGCATGGAGTAGGAAGATCCATTATTTTAAAATAAGGGTAGGCCTGAGTGTATATACCTCAGTAGTACAATGTGCAGGACCTGAGTTCAAAAAAATTAAATAAATCTGCCCCTCACATTTATCAGTGGGAGAGCTGGGGACTTAGCTCAGTGGTTCTGCTGCCTGCCTTAAAAGTGCAAGGTCCTGAGTTTGATCCCCAATACCAAAAACAAAAACAAACAAACAAAAACAAAAAACATTTTTGTCAGTGTGCTCCCTATTCAATGAAGAAGTTAGAATTGTTGGGTTTCTTGAGCCACCGTACATAACCCCTTATTTACTTTTCCTGGACACTCATTCTGAAATTATTTGCACAGGAGTGGGAAATAAATTATAGTTTGGGTTTTATTGGGGGGTTTTGGTTGTTTTTATTGTAATTTCCTCAGGTGCCAGAATGCTTTTCTATTTACGATTTGGATTAAGATAGGCCTGTTTGTGATGGCAGAACACATAACTTGAAATGGATATACCTGTCTCAAAAATACAAAAATAGTTTGATGTTGAGGTACATGTCTGTAATTCCAGCACACTGGGAGGATGAATCAGGACAATCCTGAGTTTGAGCCCAGTCTGGGCTGCTTAATGACTTAGGAAGACCCTGTCTCAAAATAAAAAAAGGGCTACGTTCAATGCCCAGTGGTAGGGTGGGAACAAAAAGATCATATTATGTATGAATTGAAATGGTGTTACTTTTTTCCTTTACAAGCTGGATTCATTTTTTCCTTCTCTTTCTTTGCAATATTGGGAGCCAAGCTAAGGGACTCTATAGCACTGAGCTACATTCCAGCATCCCCCACCCCTGCAGGTACCAGGGATTGAACTCAGGACCTGGTACTTGCAAGGCAGGCGCAGCATCTCTGAGCTAAATCCCCTTATATTTTATTTTGAGACAGTCTTGCAAAGTTGCCCAGACTGGCTTTGAACTTGTGGTCCTCCTGCTTTACTTTCCCAAGTAGCTAGGTCTAGAAGTGTGTGCCACCTTTACCAACTAGAATCGTGTGTGTGTGTGTGTGTGTGTGTGTGTGTGTTACTCTGGGTATGAAACCCATGCCTTGCCATACTAGGCACTGCCACTGAGCTACATCCCCAACCCCCTGAATGTCTTTTATTTCATTTTCTTACCTAATTGCCCTGATTTGGACTTCAAATGGCATATTGGGTAGAAGTGGCTTTGACTTATTCCTGATCTTACAGGGAAAGGTTTTTTTCGGGGGGCAGATATAGGGGTTGAACTCAGGACCTTGCACTTGTGAAGTGGGTGGCATAACCACTGAGCTTAATCCCTGGCCCTATCCATTTTTTTTAACCAGTAAGTATAATTTTAAATAGGTTTTGGTGCAAAACCTTCTGTGGATCAGTGTAATTTATATATATATATATAATCTATTTATAGACAGATACAGATATGTATGTTTTTTGTTTTGGTGGGTTTGTTTTGTTCTTTTGAGATAAGATAGCACTATGTAGCCCAGTCTGGCTTTGAACTCACTGGTTAGCTCAGCCTGGCTTTGAACTCTGAATAATCCACCTGCCTCAGCCTTCAAAGTACTGGGATTATAGACATGTGCTACCATGCCCCATACCTGGCTTTAGAATTTTGAACTCAGGTATACTAGTTGAGGCTTGTGTACCATGGGCACAAAACTGTGTCATAGTCTGAGGCTATTTGGGGCTTCTTCTTGGAGGGGATGGTTTAGACAGTCTTACTATATGATTTAGGCTGGCCTTGAACTCCCTGTGTCGCCCAGGTTGGCCTCAAACACATGGTGATCCTCCTGTCTCAGTCTCCTGAGACAGGCATGTGCCACCATTACCATCCTATGTGTGGCTTCTTATGCATTCTATAGAACAACTTTGTTTTGTGTTTCAGTGATGGCTGCTATCCGAAAGAAACTGGTGATTGTAGGTGATGGAGCTTGTGGCAAGACATGCTTGCTCATAGTCTTCAGCAAGGATCAGTTCCCAGAAGTGTATGTGCCTACAGTGTTTGAGAACTACGTGGCAGATATTGAAGTTGATGGAAAGCAGGTGAGTTATTGTCATTTTAGTCCACTTGTGTTTGTGTTTGTTTTTTGTGATGTTTTGTTTTTTTGTTTTTTTGAGACAGGGTCTCACTGTAGTTGAGAATGACCTGGAACTCACTATGTAGCCCAGGGTGGTCTTAAATTCACAGTGATCCTCCTGCCTCAGCCTCCCGAGTGCTGGGATTAAAGGCATGCCTCACCACACCCGGTTTTTGTGTTTGTTTTAAACTATTGTTTTCCAGACTTTATTCACATTCATGAGTGTTTTACATAGGGCAGCCTTAGTATATGCAGTCTTTTGAAGCATATTTATATTTGAAACATACTGTGAAATAATCTTCAAACCTTTTTGTATGGATGGACTTTGTTTTGTTTTGTTTTGTTTTTTGAATTCTGTCAGTATGCTAGGGATTTAGCTCTGTGGTGCTCCTGCCTGCTTCACAAGCATAAGGTTCCTAGTTCAACCCCTAGTACCAAAATAAATAAATGAATAAATAAAAATAAAATCTCAAAACTGTGAACAGAGAATGCCAGTTTTCTAAAAATTAATTAATTAATTAATTAATTCTGTCAGTGTATCATACCCAATGCTCATTTATGAGATCAGTGATTCAAGAGATAGCCGGGTGTGGAAGTGCATGCCTGTAATCCTAGCACTTGGGAGACTGAGCAAGAGGATTGCCACAAATTTGAGGCTAGCCTGGGCTCCATAGTGAATTCAAAAACTAGTTTTGACTATATAGTGAGACCCTGTCTTAAAAAACAACAAAAAAAATCCACACAACTAATTCAAGATGTCCTTACTGCTTATGCTTCTCTAAAGGTTATACTGGGGTCAGGGATTTAAGCTCAATGGCATCGTGCCTGCCTTGCAAGCACAAAGTCCTGAGTTTGATCCCTGGTACCAAAAAAATAAATAAAAAGAAAGGGTTATACTGATCTGACACCATGAGTAGTATAAACAATATTTCCATCACTTTTTTAAAAAAAATCTTTAAAATAAAATAGTTTGCCTTAGTTGTTTCAATGTCTTGCCTTGATGGCAAGGACAATGTTTCCCCATGTCTGTCCTGAAAACCCCAGGGCAAGATTAAAACAAAGTTCTTAGGGACTTTATTTTATATACTCCCTTTTGTTGTCAAAGCAGTGCCTTACCTTACCTCCTATACGTGAAATTACCCTAAATGGGTCAGCTGGGTGATGAAAACTAGAGTGCTCCAATGATCTCAGTCCTCTTAAACAGATGCTCAGTCGTATGTCTCTTCTGCTAACAATGATTTCATACTTCCACCCCCTTTCTTCTTTCTTACTTGCCTGTTTTACTTACTATCCCTTTCTGTATCAGAGTCACTCAGCCCTAGTCTGTGGCACCATATGTGAAAACATGGTTCAGGGTGCTTAGAATTCCAGGATTTCTTATTATATTTCTGTGATCATGGGTAAACTGGCTGTTCTTTGAGTCCTCCTTTACCATTTTACAGATATCATCAGGGTTCTTAGAAGTAATTGAAACTGTTTGAAAGCACTTAGTACCAAGATTGGCCTGAAATACCACATTCAAAACATAGTTTTCATAGTTTGTATTCCACTTTATCCAAATGCAGGGTGGGCTGCACTCACTGTTATCACACCATTTGAAAACCCAGGCATTTTTCTGGGACAAGGAAAAAAACTACAAGATATTCTGGCCTCAAAATACTTTGAATCCCACCTTGAAGGTGACTGAGCATTTCAGACAATTGCTAGTTCAAGCTCAGTTCTCTGTGTGTATTCTTTGAAACTAGTGTTTCTTCTGGTCTTTTGAGCCAGGGACTCACTATATAGTTCTATCTGGCCTTGAAGTTCACTATATAGTCCAGGCTGGCCTTAAAGTCACAGGGATCCTCCTGTTTCAGCCTCCCAGGTGCTGGGATTACAGACATGCACCACCATGCCCACCCAGCTCTTGTGATTGTTTTCTTGTGCTGCCAACCTTGAGCATGACTGACCATGGCAAGCTATGTGTGTCCCTCATTCAGGAAGAGGTCCTTGATCTGAAGAAAGCTGTGACAGTTTAGCTTCTTGCCCCAGAGAAACTTGGGAGTCCCCAAGGTGGAGAGGGCATTGCCTAAGAATGTTCATGTAATGTATTTATTAGGAGAGTCTTACTGGATTGTGGGTGATCATGGTTCCAGTAAGAGGCATGACCTAACAGAAAGGCCCCTCTGACAAGAGACAGACCCAGTACCCTGAAAGCATTTGTGAGGAGTTGGTTGGGGTTGGATGTGTCACTTAGGCCTTGTATAACATCTGAACATCTGGCATGGTATCTTTTTTTACTACCAACTCAAATACAAGTTTGCTGCCAGGTTGTGGTACATGCTTATAACCCCAGCTACTCCAGAGGCTGAGGCAAGAGGGTCACAAATTCAAAGCCAGCTTGTGTATTTCAGTGAGGCCCTGTCTCAATTTAAAATAATAATTATAATGAGAAGGAAATGTGGGGTTATAGGTTGCCTGTAGAGAACTTGCCTAGCATACAGAAGCTGCGTTTTCAATCCACAATAATAGGGAGGGTGTCAGTGTTTACATACTGGGGCAGAATGAAACAAAGTCAGGAAATGGTTGAGTGAAAATATATTAAGGAAAGTTACTTGGGGTGATATTTCCCTGTCTTCCCTTATCCACCTGGTGCCATGTTATTTAAAATTTGGTTTCCTTTCTTACCCATCCCACTTTCTTTCCTAGTAGAACACTTTCTGGTCCCAGCCCCTGTCCAGTACTAGGGATTAAACCCAGGGGCACTGTACCACTGAATTACATCCCCAGCCCTTTATTTTGAGACAGTCTCACTTACTTGACTGACCTTGAATATGCAATCCTGCCTCAGCTTCCCGGGTAGCTGGGACTACAGGCACATGCTCCTGTACTTGGTGTAAAACACCTCTTACAAACTATGAAGTTACTTTGACCAGTTAAATTATGCTACTTGGTTCAGAACTTAAATCTGTTCTCAAATTTGCTAGTTTGAAAAATTGAAACCTAAAACAATGTAGACACACTCAACCAGACACAGTGGCTCACACTTGTAACTCCAGCACTGTAAAGATGGCGTAAGGATCGCAAGTTTTGAGCCTAGCCCAGACAATTTAGCAAGACCCTGTGTCAAAATAAAAAGGCCTGAGGATAAATCTCAGTTCGAAGATTCTGCATTCCATCCCTATTACCGATGACCAAGGGGAATAATACCACATACCTCTGCATTTGGATTTGGTTCTCATAAAAAATGAACACTTTCGTTGTACTATTTGGAATGATTTTCTCTTTGAACGTACTGTGGTGAGTGCCACTTTTTCTAAAAGTGGGTAGTGGAATTAACCTTCTATTCCTGTGGTGGTTTGCTTTTCCATCACAGGTAGAGTTGGCTTTGTGGGACACAGCTGGACAGGAAGATTATGATCGCCTGAGACCTCTCTCCTACCCAGACACCGATGTTATACTGATGTGTTTCTCCATTGACAGCCCTGATAGTTTAGGTGAGTGGCCTTACAGCCTATTTGTCACTGTTTACATGATGGACATTTGGTTTTTCAGACCTCTCCCAGGCATCGAGCATTTGAAAAGCAGGCCTGAGCTTCAGAAAAAGAGTCATCAGTAGCCAAAGCCTTCGAGTTTTGGAACAGTAGAACATGGACTATAGCTCCCTTTTCAGCCTATATCTCCCATACTACCATAAGTGTTTTGTTGTTGTTGTTGCTGTTGTTTTATTGAGGTGCTAGAGATTGAACCCAAGTAATGATAGGCAAACACTATATCACTATACCACTGACCCTATTTTCTGTTTTTAAAATGTATCTACCTTGCTGCAAGGTGTAGTGGTTTACACCTATAATCTTAGTACTTTGGAAGGCCAAGACAGGAGGTTTACAAGTTCAAGGCCAGTCTAAGCAATTGAGCAATTTAGCTAGGCTCTCTGAAAATGAAAAAGGGGCTGGGGATTTAGCTTATTTAGTGCAAAGAGCCTGGATTCAGTCCTCACTACCACCACAGAAAAAGGGAAAGTATCAACCCTTTAGCCAGTTGTGGTGGAGTTACAAATGATCACCATCAGCCTGTTGGCACTTTAAAAATACAATGCCATGCCAGGCATGGTGGCACATGCCTATAATCCCAGCACTCGGGAGGCTGAGGCAAGAGGATAGCTTGGTGAGTTCAGACCAGCCTGGGCTACATAGTGAGTTCCAGGTCAGTCTCAACTACATAGTGAGACCCTGTCTCAGGAAAAAAAAAAAAAAAAAAAAAAAAAAAAA